GGCAACATTCTTCATAAGCATTGTTAGAAGTAGATCCTTCTACGAACTTTGATATTTGCAAATATCTTTCAATATTATCATATCCAGCATTTTCCAAGCATGTTTTTGTTAAAAGCTCAAAAATATGATATGGATCAACATTCCTGGTCTTCATTTATCCTTCCTGCTATCTGCTAAACGTCCTGCTTTCTTTTGCTGTCTTGAAGCCCGAGTGAATCTGAGTCTTGGTTTGTCGTAAAAGAATTTCTTAATATGAAGGAATTTGTACCTTTGCTGTAAACACGACCCGAATACTGAAAGCAGCTAACTTTGGAAATAGTTATCAGCTACTTGTGAACACTTTCTTTGGCAAACCTCTGCTTTTTGCAAAAACATCTTATGCATTCTAAACTAATCTATGACTGGAGATTTAGAAAAACATAAATGATGATGGTGATGATATTTTTTTTAAGCATGCAGCTATTATATTGTTCATGAATTTCTGGCTTTGGGATCAAGAGATTTTATGAGGCAGCATGTCAGAGAAGACTCACAGAACTCCCTGTCCCTCTGCTTGACAGAAGTTGCTTTTGTGGCTTAGGCCTGTCATTCTCCATTAACCTTCAGTCTCCTGATGTGTTTGCTTCTTTTTCTTCGCCATCTTCCTCTTCCTCTTACTATCATCCCTGTCATATTTTTCTGTCCCCTTTTCAAAACACTGTCACTTACTGTTGAGATCATTGGAATGACGAACTACCTTTTTTCCAAGTTTAGTGGAGCCAATATTCACTCTTGATACTCTCTTCAGTTTGAATTATGCTGGTTTGTTGGGCTCTTTTCGTCATGCATGGGTCCACATTTTCCTACTACCTGTCAACTCCCCACTGTGTGCCCACCTGTGTAACCTACATAGAAGATCTAAATTTACAGCAACTTACCTTCTTTTATATCTCATTGTGTGTTCTTGGACACTTACTATGTACAGTATGCTCTGTAAAAAACCTTCTTCTACTACAAAAAACACATATCTGTTAGAGAATACCTTTCAAAAGGGTTTATCCCACCTTGAATGTTTTCCTTTTTTCATTTTCAACCAGACTTTAAAGTATTTTGATTTTATCTGACAAACACTACTTAGCACATAATGTAAAATGGAAAGAAAAGGTCACAAACGGTTTGCATTAAGGGTTAGAATGTAGTAAATTCCATTTTGTTGCTGTTGCAGCTGTATAGGCTTAGCACAATCCATTTGTTAGGTTAACCTCTGTCTCTTTGTAGCCTTTAACCAATTACTTGAGTTTTGAATGGCAGTGGTTGGAATAGTGGCAAAATAAATAGAGATTTCTGGGTTTACGGATTACATATTAAATATTTTATTGTAATATAAAAAAGTAGATTGTTTTGCACTACTTAGCCCTGATATATTCACACAAAATGCAATACAGTTTGATATTGGAATACCAACAATAATATCAGATGAAGACAGGAGAGCTATGACAAAGAGCTCTTCATTGGCTTTATTTGTGAGTGAGAGTCTCTTGTGTTTAGCCAGTAGAGGGGCCCGCTGAGCTGGTCCCATTGGTGCTATCCCGCTTCATTGGGACAGGAGAGCTGGTAAGCGGGGTACAGGCAGGGGGGTGATTGAGAACCTCTGTGTGTCTATGTGTGTGTTTTCACGATACAGAGAGGAGCACTGCAGCAATTGGAGAAAGTAGGTCAGACACCGACTAGTGAGAGAAATCGAAGAGGAGAGGTTGATAGGAGAGATGGAGTAGAAAAGGGAGGAAGGGAAGAAGATGGGGGTAAACTGCCGAAGAATGTGGAAAAAATGAGGACAGGTGTTTTAAAAAAAAATAAAATAATTATAAAGAAAAGTTGAATGGTGTAACTGCAGAAGACCCAGCTACAAGAATTTTTTTTCAACACACTATTTAAGCAAACTTTTTTGCTTCAGACTTAACAATGATTGTCTGACCACTCCCACAGTGCTGCAAGAGTAAAATATATCTAAATAAATAAATAAAATCCTTCAAAAATAAATAATTAAAGCAATGCTGTGCCCTTTCAATTAACTTAGAAGTAAAGAAATATGCATCAATATAAACACTGATAAATATAAGTATTCAGCCACACTATGGCTGAAGTAAGCATTTATACTAGGCAAGGCAAGGCAAATTTATCTGTATAGCACAATTCAGTTCAAAAACAATGCAAAGTGCTGTACATGATTAAAATATAGGAAAATAAAACAGAATCAAAGCAAGTAGGAAAAACTAAATAAAATAAAATAAAAAATCAGAAACGAAAAAGAATATTAAAAACAGTTGGACTAAAGAGAATAAAAAAGTTGAACTAATGATGTTACTAGGAGAGGTAACTAGAGCGGCAGCACCTGGGCCATGCATTTTTTGTCCCACTTCCATCTGAGGAACCATTCAGGATCATTCCATCAGAAGCAAATACATTCAAGAACAGTTTCTTTGACTGTAGTTGCAAAGGCAATGATCCCCCTGAGACCGACACTATACATCCCTCCTGAAAATCCACTAAACCTCCTGTCCATTTTGTACAATGTTAAAGCACCAGCTGCACTTGATGTAAATACTGCATGTTGCAATCCATGAAAATATGTTCTTATTTCATATATCAGGTCTCTATGGATGCTGTTTTTTTATATTTTCTATGAGCGCTTTAGCTAGCAAGCATAAGGATCAGAAAAAAGTGTTTCTCTTATGCTTCTGAGTAACCCATAGTTTGTGTTTGTGTGTGTGGGAGGAGCGGTGGGGAGCAGAGAAAGACGTAAAATTAAGTTTTGGGTGGTTTCACTCAAGTTTCTTCCATGAGGCTGAGTTACAGTGCTTGGTTCTGCCCCTTGTACTCCCTCCCTACCAGCCAACCCTGCAAGCATGAATGTTTACTGTAGTGTTGACTTCAAGTCTTCCAACAGAAATGATTTGTGCTTGTATAATTTTCAAATCAAAGATAGGAATAATAGAAATTTTGCCACCAAAGTAAGAAACAACAAAGCAAAACCATTATCAAAGAAACACTTTGCAGTTTATGGTGGGAACAGCTGATCTAAAGGGGAACCCACCCCTCTCCCATGACCGCCCATGTTACCTAGGCTACAAAAAACAACCAAAAAACTCTAAAATTGGAACTGTCTCTTAAATTAACATTTAACTGCAACTAGTGATTTTAGTCCAACCCTTCAGTCTTCCTCTCTGAGTGTTTTTTTAGCTTTAGTTTCCTGTGTAAGTAGTCTCTTACCACCTTCATCCAGCATCTTCTGGGGTTGATATTCACATTATGCACCAAAGTACAGTCTTCGTAGGTATGCAGAACCCATCTCGTCTTATACAGTAAGAGTCATTTAAATTAGATTTATGAAATAATCCACCAGGCGTTTGTAGAGCCATAGCACGATCATGTAAGTTTTCCCAAATGGTTTACAGTAATATTAGTACATGTGAACTCCTGAATTTAAATACTGAGAAAATTTAATAAAATAATTGTCTGCCTTATTATTTGATAAAAAAGTGTAACTGTACCTAAAAGCAAAATCTTAGTCTTTTTTTTGTCAGATGTTGAGAAAAAAAAGTTTAATCCGTAAATTCATAACTGGTTTAAATTGTGTTTCTTTGCTGATCTCCCATGTAAATGCTTGGGCTTAGAATGTTAAATCTGCTGCTTTGTCTGTCTGTCTCTGTCATAAGGGCAAATAGGAAATAGTGTGTAGGCCTTTATTCAGTTTCCAATTCAGAGAAACTAAAAGAAAAAGTGAGACTTTTAAGTGAAAGAAAGTGAAAGTGGCTTGCTCCATTTGTTAGAGATCTGGCCTCTTCTTAAAAGTATTTTCCTCTTCGTGTTACATAAGTCCATAATGTCAAAAATACATGCATCACACGCATAATACACTTAGCCTTCCATATATATATGGACTCCACTCAAGTATGAATTACCTCTCTGTTCTGCTCCTTGGGCTATGCTTGTATTTTTTTTATTATTTATCTGAAAAAGCACAAAGTATACTGCATCTATAAATATACTGCAGGGCTTGTGGGAATGGGCCACAAACTGGAAAAAAGCCTGGCCGTATACAATAAGCACATACGAAAACTCAGAAGATCCAAAAACAGAGTTGGGAAAATGAACATCAGAGTTGGAGCTTATTATTTCTACTGCAACTAAAATTAAATGTTGGGTTTCAACCAAATTTTCATAGCCTTTATTCCAACAGCCAAAATTATCTTTGTTGCATCCAAGGTGAAAAGAAATGTAGACTTCTTTTAGCAGGCTGACAGTCTTTGCACAGGGGGAGCAAAGCATTAGCATGTGTACCATACAGCAGAGGAAAACTCTGTTCATCCATGCATTTTTCTTGGCATCCTCTGACAGAATATCTTCACATATTTTAACCCTTCATCATCCAAGTTACCATTTGTGGCATATTGGATATAAATACCAATTTCTAGCAAACAAGGCAACATCGTGAGGTCAAATGTTCTCTCAAGGGTCTTTAAAATTCAAAACATTTCACAGAGTGCGCTATAAAAGGTTAAAACAATTCCTTTTTATAACATAAGTCTAAGTTGATACAGCCATTTTTCCGGCTGTTGTTAGTGGTTTAAAAAGTAATTAAAAGATACAAGGATCCCCAAGAGTTAAACTCACCCTTAAAAATATCGCTTTAGGTTGTTCTTTGTTCTGCCAAGCAAAAGAAATAAGATTTGCAACAACTGAAAGTAACATAAAATACACTGGCATCACAGCTTTTCTGTATGCAGGTGGACAAGTTTATCAGAATTCTGGTCAGTTTGGAAGGAAGTATATATTTTTGATTAAAAAAAAAAAGGTTTGTAAAGATTGATATTTTTTCTCTCAATCATCTGTCTGTTTTCTGTCTCCATCTCTCTTTGCCCTCACTCATTTCTTGTTCTTGTCTCACTTCTTGTGTTGTTTACCTAAATGTAATAACAATTAAAATTATTCTTTCTCCCCTCTACCTCCTTTTCTTCCAGTATGTGGCATTTATTTCCCTCTTCTTCATCCTCATCTCCATTTCGACATTCTGCATGGAGACGCACGAGGCCTTCAACACCATCCTAAACAAGACAGAGAACGTCACGCATGGCAACACAACCCGTGAGGAAATAGTGTACGAAGTGGTGACTGACAGCTGGTTGACATACGTTGAAGGTGTATGTGTCATTTGGTTTACAATTGAGGTCTTGCTGCGAGTCATCTTCTGTCCAGACAAGTTGGAATTCTTCAAAAGTGCCCTCAACATCATCGACTTTGTTGCCATCCTGCCCTTCTACTTGGAGGTTGGCTTGAGCGGTCTCTCCTCCAAAGCTGCCAAGGATGTCTTGGGGTTCCTCCGCGTTGTCCGATTCGTCCGTATCCTTCGAATCTTTAAGCTCACTCGTCACTTTGTGGGTCTCCGTGTCCTCGGCCACACCCTTCGTGCCAGTACCAATGAATTCCTCCTCCTCATCATCTTCCTGGCCCTTGGAGTCCTCATCTTTGCCACTATGATCTACTATGCTGAGCGAATTGGGGCAGACCCAGAAGACCCTACTGCCAGTGCCCACACCAACTTCAAGAACATCCCCATTGGATTTTGGTGGGCCGTGGTGACAATGACCACATTGGGTTATGGTGATATGTATCCGGAGACATGGTCAGGAATGCTGGTTGGTGCGCTCTGTGCCTTGGCTGGTGTGCTAACCATTGCTATGCCCGTACCTGTCATTGTCAACAACTTCGGCATGTACTATTCTCTGGCTATGGCCAAGCAAAAGCTGCCCAAAAAGAAGAACAAACATATCCCTCGTGCACCTCAGCCAGGTTCACCAAACTACTGCAAGCCGGACGCCCTAGCAATGGCTACTGCATCACCACAAAGGATCTTGGGAAATGTCTTAGGTGGAGTGATGGGATCTGGTGGTTTAGGGGGCGACTGTCCTCTTGCTCAAGAGGAAATCATAGAAATCAATAGAGGTGAGAAGTTTTTTTTCTCGTTATTTATATTTATTCTCCTCCCATTTTCTTCCATTCGCAGATACAGTTCTGGTAAATTGACTCTTGAGTTCTTGTGTTCTTTAGACTTAAAGCATTAGAATCTCAAGAGAAAGAAGTGGGAGTGATATCAAGCAGTGATGCGGGGGTGATTCTCGCACCACTCTAGAGAAATCACTGGCCCATCAGAACTGTTGTTTAATTTATGATCAACTAGTAGGTTCACAGTTGCCTTAAGGCTTCCATCTGCCATGATGCACAATCGCAATAGGAGGAAAATGAACTTAATTATCTGTTAAAACAGCCTAATGCATCTCAGTTTTGGCTGACTTCACAGTTTTTTTCCTCTGCCATTAGCAGTAAAACTGCCTCAGCATCAAACTTCAGGCCCATGCCCCAATAATCCACCTTTAAAGCATTAGCATGAGTTGTAAAGTGGCTGTTTCCTCAGTGCTCTCTGAATATCTTGCCAGCATTGGCTGGAGTCAAGAATATTAAGAGCTCTGTCTATCCGTTGGTTTTGTTTTTTTGAAACAGAAACTTCCCAAAAAGTCTACTGGATGTCTATATCTTAGCACTAAATGTTGCTTGTGTTTTCATTGTCGTTTTAATCAATATTTTGGTCTTATAAAATGTTGAAATTTTGTAATCTCAACTTTACATCTTCAGTGTGAAGATCAGGATTTTTAAAACATGAAGCAACCAAAAACTTTTAGAGAACTATATTGATACATTTGGCCCCAGGTTCGAAAGAAATGACAATGTGTAAGAATGAAGTTAGGGTAAGAATATTTTAGTTTTGGCTTATTTACCTTTAGTGATGATATTTCCAACAACTAATTAATATTGCAAAGTTATAACAGTTATCTGCAAAATTTTGTATTTCAAAATGTACTTATCAATTACTTATAGGCTGTAAAAGTGACAAAAAATATATTCACAACTTGTCTCTCTGTTTTTCACTACTATTTTTTTTTTTAAATATTATTATCCGACAATAAAACTCCATTGCTATGAATTCTTACCTTCCTCCAGATTCTAAGCAGAACGGTGATGCAGCCTCGGCTGCTTTGGCTAATGAGGACTGCCCAACCATTGATCAGGTGCTGAGCCCCGACGAACGGAGTCCCATTGGGCGGGGCCCCACTCGGGAACGTTACCAGCAGGACCGAGCTTGCTTCCTACTCAACACCAGGGAATTCCGTGCCACAGATGGGAATGTGCGGAAAGGTACGTTTCGCACCAGGAGACGGAAATGTGAAATGCAGTCCTCATGTAAACATGTCCACACAGCAAGATGCCAGGCACAGTATGCTGTGGGCATAAACATTATCCACTGTGCAACCACTAAAGATAAAGTGCTTGCAGGGAGCTATATGTTTATAAGACTAAGAAGAAATACAGCGCATGGATGCAGATTCCAGTTCAACAACCCATACACGTATACAGTCATATGGTTGCAACACATGCATATACATCTTGCTCTTCTGCTCTGCTATCTTTGTTTCCACCTCTTCATATTCATGTTGTCTGTTTTTCCATCACCGCTTTGATTCACATTTGATTTATTCTGTCACATAAGATTCTTTTGTGATAGTATTTTTCCTCTTTTTTCCTTTATACATGGCCTTGGCCATGTTCTCCATCTTTCTGTGGTGTCTCTGAATCTTTTTGTCCCATAATATGTCACATTCACTCAGACTCAAAAGTGATCTGTCCTTCTCTGTCTTCTGGACTCAGACAGTTGACCATGCATTAATTTACTTCTCGTCACTTCTGTTTCTCCCTGTCTTTTTCTCTCTCCCTCTCGCCTCACACTATTTTATTTGACTGCCCCCCCCACCACCCTTTTTTCCATGATTTTCCTTCCCTAAACCTCCCTATCAACCCTGCATCCTCCCAACCCCACCTGGTTTACTCCCTGCCTCTGCTTTCCTCCTCCCTTTCCCTTGTCGCTGCACCATCCCTCCTCTTGTTTCATTTTCCCCCCAACTTGCATTATCCCCATTCAATTCTGGCACTGCCATTCATTTAATGCTGCAATCTGACCACTGCCACCGATCTGCACCTACAAAACACTCCCTTTCAAACTTCCAATGCCCCCCCTCCCTTCTTGTTGATAACAAACTACTTTAGAGGCAGCAGCCCTGGCTCCCAGCCCAGACTCCCCTCTGACTGAGGATTGGTATAAGATGGAGGGGTCTCTGTTACAGCAGGACCTCAATGCAAACTCCACCTCCTCCTGGATCAAACCATAGCCCAGAGGTAACACTGAAATCAGTTTAAAACTTACAAATGAAAAGCCCATAACCTGGTTCTTTTATAGTGAAGGTATTTAATTTGGCTCCCCAGAAGAGTGGTCGCCCCCTTTTACTCAGGTCTACACAATCAATGTATGACATGAAATCCCAGATACACAAATATTTCATCCTTGCTATGTTAAGCTGGAAGCCGCTTATCTGTGGCTGAAAGTGTGTTTCCCTATGAAGGTTCATTCAAACATGTTAGCATAACCTTAGCCCAACATCCTGCCTGCAAAAACTTGTCCTTTATGGTTCCATAAAGTCAGGAACCATTTCGTTACAATATACAAGGTGTAAAGGAAAATGGGATTTGCAACACCCAAAATGACTACAAATGTTTTGTATTTGTGTTTGTGAATGTGTGAGTGCCTTAAACCTGCAGTCAAGAATGCAGGATTGCATCTATATAGGTATGCTAAACACATCCAGCAGCTCAAGTGAATATAACCCAGTTATTGTGTTCTGTGTTAGTATCTAATCTTAAAGAAAAAAAAGAAATGAAGCGGGAACAGCGGGTCACCTTGTTGTCTGATGTGCCTCTGTGTTGTTGTTGTCTCTCTCTTCAGGTTGTGTCATATCACGCGTGTGTATGTGGGCTTTTTCATTCTTACGTGTTTATAGACTGTGTCTCTGTCCCCCCGGTGGCGTCCGAGTGTCGTGTTTGTGTTCTCGTTTGTGGCTCTACCTCTTTTTTCCCTTCTAATGTGTTTATTCACATTACTCCCTACCTCACAGACCTGCACCCTGGTAAACAACAGCACTTATTAAAATCTAATGCTCCAAACCAAAGCACAATATACATGGATGCAACAGAGCATATACAGTTATGTTTTTTTTATAATTCTATCTTATGCACTTTTATATTAAAATATATATTTCCATGCATGTACAGTACAGTACAGAATTGTGAATCCACCCTCCAAAAAGCAAGAATTGAAAAACTGGTCTTGCTTATAGTTTCTCCAGGTTTAGTGAAATTGTTTCAGATTCTGGCTTTAGATAGTTTCTGCTCTGTTTCTATCCATAGCTCATACAAAGCTTACAATATAGGGTTGCTTTAATCAAACAACTTTGAATGGCAGAAATAAGAGACAATATGTAAATAATATTAGTTGATTTACATTGAACCAGCTTGAATTGGATTTTACGGAAGAGAATTAGGGCCACTGAAAAAAAAATTTACTGATTTTTTTATTTTGTTTCAGTTTAATACGGAAAAAAGTCTGAATTATGACTTTAATCTCGGAATTATGAGATTAAAGTCAGAATTCAGACTTTTGTCCTATATTAAACTCAAATAAACTTTAAAAATCAGTTTACTTTTTTTTCAGTGGTCCTAATCCTCTTCAGTATGAATGTTTTTTCCACCTTTAAAATAATTTGAAACTGCATTTTGTACTTAATCTAATTATATCTTTCTGAGCTTAAAACTTTATATTTTATGTCAGTTTGTCTATATGGTCAAACACTTTACTACTTGTTTATCTTTGACCTGCACAATGATACCCTGCTTTAGTAAATAACATTTAAGGATCAACTTTCTCTTTATCTGATACTATAATACATTTTATTCAACCCCTAGCAAGACAAAGTTGCCATAGATCATCTGGACATGTTTAGGACATGACATGGTCTGAACATAATGACACAGCGATGTCATTTATACCTCATATATAGATGACTCCTGTGCAATTTATGATCAATTAGGCCATGATTTTTTTTTACTTTAATTTGTTGCTACATAGTGTGGATCCTCTATCTTCACTACCGTAATTATATTTTTTTTTCCTTAGAAAAATATTGTACTAAACTAATGGGTACATGCTTAAAAACTATAAAATAGGTTGTGATGTAGTACATCAGTCTGCAAAAGGGGTAACCATACACACATTTATCCCTTATGCATGCAGTAAAAGCTAATCATATATAATAGACATACCTACTGTAAAACAGGTAGTACTTGTGTTCCACACATGACTTCATATTTCACAAAAAGGCTTAATTTATTCTCAATTAGGCAGCTGTAAAATGTCTTTTCAGATGTGACAGCATATGTAGCAGGATTAAAAACAGTGTTACAGAAGTTAAAGAGATTACAAAAATATAAATCCTTTAAAACAAGTAATTAAAGGAGGACTAAAGTCTTTGGACTGTACTGTACATGCTGAACATTTAGTAGGATTTTACTACTTAAAAACAAATATCGTGCTGTATGTCAGTTTCCCATGGCTTAAGGTTACTGGGGTCAGTGGAGTCATCCATGTCAAGGGATAGCATCTCTGGACCCATGGCACGCTGTAAATGAGCAACTTTGCTGCATTTTAATACGTGTATTAAACAGTAACAAAATATTTCCACTACAACACTGACTAGGTAACTTACAAAGTATTTTGCCATGAGCGTGTGATGGATCTGAAATACTATTCGCTAGACGGTGTGAGAGTGCTTTCAGTGCCTGGTGTAGTGCAGACCTTTATAGAAAGTGAAAAAGGCATATATGCTGCACTCGGCGACTGAAACACTTACTGAATCTTACTGACCAGACAGACAAATGCTGTGACAGGTTTGACTAACAAGTGGCTTCATGCTGTCTAAGGTAAGCAAGCCTTTCAACTGTCCAAGCTTTTAGAGGGCGCTAATAATGCTGTCATTGTAAATGGTTTTTCTGTGCAAACTGCAATTTAAGTGACACAAAAATCCCCCTTTAAAGCAAATCAGGAGCGCATTGAGGAAAATAATTACTTGACTCATTAGAACACCACTTCAAGGCAACCTAGAGACAAATTGCACACTTTAATTTGCACCTTTAGGCTGGAGATCTAAAATGGTCCATGTTCCTTAAACTACTAAAACTTATGCACTAGAAGAAGTGATACCACTTACTGCTTTACAGTTAAAATTGAAACATAATTGATCTAATCCTTGCTTACCTTGAAACCTGATTAACTTTTACATTTTGTGATCTCACAACCACAAAGAATTTTTTTCATGGTACAGACCAACACAAAGTAGTGCGTAAATGTAAAGTAAAACAGAAACGTAGCATTGTCATAAACCTTTTTTTTCTTACTAATGAAGATCTAAACTGTTAGATTGGGATAGGGGAGTGGCGGCCTAGTGGTTAGGGCATAGAGGGCATAGAGCTTGGAATACTGAGGTTCTAAGTTTGAGCCCCACTCCCACAGACTGCCACTCTGGGTCTCTGAGCGAGACCCTTAACCCCACACTGCTCCCCGGGAGCCCAATGATGGCAGCCCACTGCTCCTTAAGGAAATGGGTTACATGCAGAGGTAAATTTTCCAATGCAAGATCAATAAAGTTCAGTTATAAGGAATCATCCATTCTGAATCAACACTGTAGAAACAAATTTCACTGAAGGAAAAGCTTCAGGTTTTTCGAGAGTATGCCTCTCCATTTTTTGTTATCTAGCTGCTAAAATATTTGCACTTCTTTCTTTTAATAAAACTCCGAAACAGTCAGATTGGATGGAGTGCATCTATGGACATTCGATTACAAGATACTATGTCGCAGATTCTCTATTTGAAATTTTCCCTAGACTTGGACTAGGGAATTCTAAACACATCATCTTTTATTCTGAACTATTCCATTGAAGCTGTGGTGGTATAATTGAAATATTGCCCATCTGGAGGGTGAACCTCTGCCCCCATTCCTTTCTCTTTGTTGCGGTCTCTTAACTAATGTTCTTACCATAATTTCTAAAAGAAAAACAAATCCTATTTTTCCTTTTCCATTTACCACACTGCTTTGTTGTTGATCTACACATGTGAATCATAGATTCTACTATAAAGTTTGTGATTGTGAGAAGATATATTTCTTTTAAAATAACAAAACATCAAAGGAGTATGGGTGCTTTTTGTGGAAATTTATTTGAATAATATGATCACATTTCTATGGAATTTTGATAAACTTCCTTATAAGGATTTATAGAACATTTGATTTATAATAATGCTAATTGAAAAGACTTGTTACAGTTCAAATCCATACTTAATGAGAAGATATTTTATCATGAAAAGCTGGCCAAATTTGAGAGATATTCTCTTTTAAAATCTGTTGTTTTTAAAGAGGGATTGTCCTGCTGTCCAAACTCCTTCTTTTGTGCCTATTTTTATCTTTTTTAAAGTATAATGTGTTTTTTTTTTCTTAATTTCTGTGCGTGTCATCTTTTTGAATTATTGCCCATTTAGATTTTCTGTGCTCATAGTGCTGTATGCATGGCTGACAAAGGGCAACCAGTATATCAGCCCTTTGACTCCTCACTCCTTCAGATCTTCATCGAGGACATCAGTCCTGTTTGGTTCAAACTCAACTGTTCTGTTTCTGTTCTTCTTGATTCATTTTAACCAACTGTGTATAAGTTTTATTTCTATTATTTTTATTTTTGTGATTATTTGTATTTTTGTTTCTAACTTGGTGTGTATTGTTTTCACCAAATATTTTTGTGCAGTATGTTTCAGTAATTTGTTTAATATTTGTATTTTTGTGTTGTAGTGTTAATTCTTTCTTCTTTTTATTCTGTTAAGATCTTGGAATTTTTTTTCTTTACATTTTTATTTAGGTTTTGTGCAACGGTGCCTTATTGTTGTGCTTTGATTTCCCTCGTGTTCTTCCTTTGAGTCGGAAAGAAAGTACGTAACAGTGAACAACAAACCGATAATCTAATTGGATACTATTACAATGAAGCGTCAAATTTAAAAACCCAAGTTTTACAATGTAGTAAAAATGCTTTAAAAACTTTTACCTGTCATGATGTGATGCTTGTTTTAAAAAAAAAGGATACTAATGATTTATTTTCAGCCACACTTAATTCCACACTTACTGTTTACTGTTTCTGAGCAATACGTTATTTAAATTATGTAAGCCATGAAGGTCCTTATGTGGAATCCTAAGCAAAAACTCTTAATATTTAAGATTTACTAAAGTAACTACAAGATCATATTTGGTAACACTTGTCAAGCTTCATTGTCATTTTCTTGGGTTCGCTCACTATTTAAAAGCTCAATGTTGTCATACATTCTCTGTTGTGTCCTATTGTGTGTCTCTTGATCTGTCTCTCTACACAACACCTTGCAAATATTCTGTCTGAGCCAGGTTTAAGATGTAACAAGTCACAATCCATGTTTTTATGTACCGTATGCACATATGATTGATATTCAGATATGTGTATGAAAAGAACAAATTGGAAAACATGAAGTAGTTAAGCAGTCAGTGTCTTACCTGCAGGAACACAAATAGAGAGTTTGCTAAACAGAGATCCTCTGGTTCATATATATCTTTCTCACTAATGCTAGTTCTTTTCTTTGTTGAGGCCTTTTAAAAGTTTCAATTGCAATGTACTGATACATACTGGAGGTAAATAGAAATGAGGACATAGGATTACTAAAGAAAACAGGCATTTAGCCTTGCTCTTAGATTTGCAGAAGGCTGTTTTTTCCAAATTCAGTACATTTTCTTGTGTCAACAGAGACGAAAGGTCGAAAGAATAAGAGTAACTTTGGTTTACTTTGTTCAGCCTCCCTTTTGTCTGCTGAAAGATTTGCTCTATGGGAGGCTTTATAAACTGCAGACATATTGAAATGCAGAAAATAAAGTTTACTCTTAAATAGTTCCTTAAATCTCTGACTTTCCACTAAATTAAATCAAAAGCAGTTCATTGATGGTGCAAAATACCTTACTTTGAGAGGGCAGCCAAGCTGAAAATTGCCCAACGAGAGATCGGCTGATAAAGGTTTCCAAGGCTGATGACCATACCCTCATCCCTGATCCTTGATATGTACTGCCGCTTGTTTGGGGCCAATTCTTTAGGCCCAAATAGCTTTTTCTTCCTGTATTTACTTGATAAAAAAGGTGCAATGATAACAAATGTTACATAAGTCTAAATTAAAACAAATGGAACAATTTAGTAAGACAAAGGAAAACATATTAACAATGGATAGCAAAATGGAGGGTGTGGCAATTTATCTGATAGATGAACACATATGGCTTCTTGCTGATACAAGAAAAGAACACTAACATACACTAGGCCAAAAATATCATTCAGCTAACGGAGCGATCTATTGCCAATCAGATTCAAACCAAATTTAAAACCATGAAAATGACTTTAATTTAGGTTTTTTAAAAGGTTTTTGCTTTGCATAGACTTTTACTGTAGTAGATCTAAGCTTGATTCTCTAATAATTACTTGAAATTTTCCGTTTTTTATTATAGTATATATTACTATATACTATATTCTGCAGATATGATTCTGATTGATTCTAATTACGCAACAGCCCACTAAAAGATGGAACTATCCCTTTAAATCAACTAAAGCAACTTTAGCTTTATTAATAACAACTGGCAGTAACTCTACAGGCTTCTGTGACCTACATACTCCTAATGGGAGGACGAGAGACACAGTTGCATCTAGTTTCTCCAGCAGACATGTCAGACTCTATGTACTGTACTGTATGCACATACTGTGGCTTTGGTAATCATTATGAAAAAAAAAACCTCTATACATTTAATTATGGGTAACAGGAGATAAACCAATCTTTAACAGGCTATTGACCACATGTAAAGTGATACTGTAGATGGGCAATCTAAGAATAGAAACTGGGCAGTCAGCAAATCCTGTGGATCCTTGGTAAACATGCCAAGGAAGGTTTCCAAGTAGTCCTCTTTACTGTGCTGCTATAAAATACATCTAAGAATCATTAAATGTGTATTTGAAACCACTTTACTCGGTATAAACAGGCTGGCCACAATATTTGCTTTTCTTCTCTCTTCCTCTGAGTCTTCCCTCTACATTACTGGCTCCTTCTGTGATTAACACTCATTCTTCATCCCATCCCCAGGCCGCCACTGCAGTGCAAGTGTAACTAAAGTCTGACTCTAGGTAGGTACATGCTCCCTCCATAGTGTAAATTAAGTGTGACTTTGGGCAGAAATTATGTCATCACTGAGTAAAGTGACAGCCAGACTCAACATTTCCCCTGACAGAGAATCCCTGAGCAGCAAAGCCCTGTTGGTGTTGTTGTAAATGCAGCAGATAACTCAGAGGGGCGATGAACAGACTGTGATAATCTGCAGTGGCTGAGACATGTTTAGCTCTACCTGCATTCTTTTTTCATAATTATAAATGTTCATTCTCATAAATTAAAAAAATACATAATTATTTTATTCACTAAAAAAGATGAACTAAACCACCAACCTCATCTCACATCCCTTTTTCTTTTTTATTTAGGTTTTTTTTATTATTTCATTTGGCAAGTGTTAAGAAAGGCTGAGGATTAAAAGTACCAAGCTGTCTCTTTTCAGGACATTTCTTTGGGTGCAATTCTTTACAACATTGAAACATCTTTGGAATTGATCCAGTATTGAGCGAGAACACAAACCACAAATGAGCAATGAACCCCTGTCTAAATAAATAGTCTTATTTTACCTCCATATGTGTGGAAGTTATACTGGTGTAATATGAAATTCAGAAAAAATAAGTGTTTACGTCAAGCGTATCATTTTATTTCCATGTGAAATGTATGTATTTATATTTCCATTTCTTTCTTCTTTTACTTGATTGAAATTACATAACAATTGTTAGACAAGTCTCAATTTCAAGACAATTAAAAATTTATTAACAAATCAATAAAAAACATATTAACCCATGCACCTTATCTGAGCTGCATTCACTAATATATCGGCGGACACAGGTGTGTATCAGTTTGTGCTGATCCAAGAAAACGTTGATAAATAAATTTGATATATATGAATATTTTTATACCCCTACAAGGAGAATATGCTACAAAAGGTAAGGCTATTCATTATAGCTTTATATACAAGCAAATTCATATAGAGTTAAAGGGAAGGACAACATTTGATTGAAAAATAAAAGGCATTTAGATTGAAGTTTAGCATTTAAGTGCAATTTTGAGGAAAAGTGGAGAGAAACAGAACCTCAGCGGGAAATTTTCATGGCAAAAATGCTTGATTGGCCAGTAAAATGACCTAAGAGGAGCTGAGCCAACATATCAGATGAGCGGAAAACTGTCATTAAACTAAGATGGACTTCCTGAAAAGCTGATGGCTATTGGTTAGAGAGGAATAGTTGAAAATCCCACAGACCGCCACTGTTGCTGCCTAAGCAAGAATCTTGGCCCCAGGTTGGCCCAAAATTACAAATGAAAATCATTTTTTAATTATTATTATGATGATTAATTTGCAACTATGTGTGCAAAGGAGCCCAGACCAAATTTTGATGCTGTTAAAATACATATAGAGAATTTTCAGCAGGCTGGATTTTCTTTTTATTGATTTTTTGTCATACTTAATATTTTGGGGAAAATCAATTTGGTGCTTTAATTAGTGTAAAGTTTGATGACTATAATTTGTGATTAAGAACCTGGAAGTGTGGATTGTTCCTGTGCTTACTTTCAAGCCTTATTTACAGGTGGTGGTTAAGCATGTCTGCCTCAAAAAGATTGCAAAAATTAGACACATTTTATCCTTTAAAAGTGCAGAGATTCTCATATGTGCATTTGATTCCTCATGCATTGAATATTGCAATACCCCTTTCAATTGGCTACCAAGGAAAAGTTGTAGAGGTTTGCAGACGGTTCTCAAAAGTGACCTTTCATGTTTTAAGGCAATTTGGGAAACATATGAAGTCAGCTCCGAAAAAGATATGCACCTTCTTACCTCTTGGACCCTCTTCACTTATATGTCCCTCCTCAAGCTCTTATATCTCAAGACAATTACTTTAAAAAAATCCCTAAACCATAAAGAAAACTGTTGGTAAAGGGGCCTTATCTTTAAGTGCCCCTTTCCTGTGGAATAACCATCTTCTGGTTATCAAGGTTCTGTGGATCTTTTTAAAGTTAATCTGAAGACCCATTTGTTTACTCAGTCATAGTCCCCTTAAACTGTACCTTTAGTTTAGTTTTTTTAATCAATTTTATTTTAAATTGCCCCATATTTTCTTATACTGCTCATTGCTTTGTATTACATTGCTTTATAGCTAAATTAGTTATTGCCATTATTGGATTTAAGCTGCAGTCGTCCAAATAAACAGAAATACTTAAAATACTTTCACCTGTATTTGTCGAAAGTCATATTAGTTTTTTTTATTTTCTTAAGGAAATAAATACCCCTTGTAATGATATTGTAATTTATTGAGATACACCTGCAGATTAGATAAAGAGATAAGGTGTGAGAGACCCACAAAATTGTTTATAAGGAAAAAGACGAGCTCTTAACTCTAGTGGAAGATGGAATCTTGAAGAACATTTGACAACTTCAGCTTTCTTGAAGTCAACTAATTGCAAAATGATAACCAAAATCTGCAAGATAGGAACTAAAGAACTGATTGTGATTGCACAACATGAATTTCGGCAGCAAAATGACACACAGCACTTTGTAAAGCTTTCACAGACTGCCTTTGGGGGACTCAGGGATGCTCAAATTGCAGCAGCTGTAATTCTGTTACAAATGGATGAAAACACTCCTGTCCATTTGCTGAGCTTTGCACTTCTGCTCAGTGAACATTTTGACCTAGATGACTGCTTTAAGTGAAATAGGAGAAGAAATATTTTGCCAACAGCCTGTTTCTTTTAGGTAAAATATTTTAAAATGGGAGATGACTTTAAATGTATATTACTGTTGGATTGGTTTATGGGAAGCAAAAAAAACGTTTACACCCTAGATTACACTGTTCCCTGCTGCTACTTGTGGTATTCTCACTCAATACTGAGTTCATGCCAAACATCTTTGATCATATTAATCTTTAAAACAAAGATTAAACAAATGCACATAAAATATACTAATATGAAATAGCAATATATTTTTACAATTAAGTGTTTTTGCACCTTTTACCAAATCAGTGTGTTTCATCTCTCTCATTATTCATCTTTCGGTCAGCTGTCACTCACAGCATGGTATTATATTAACTTATTTAGAAAATCAGATAAACTGCTGTTACATAGCCTTAAAACCTGAGCTAATCCAGTTCAGTTTATTTTCGCTTCACCAGCTAATAGCAAACATAATTTAAGACATTAAACAACACAAATAGATGTAATTAATATCCAGTAGTATAGAATCAAAGTCTTTTCAAGTACAGATCAGATCAATCCCATTTATTTCACTACAATAAAAGTCTTTTCAGTTAAGTTTTTTTTAACATCACAATTAGGATCAGGGCCAAAATATTATTAAGATACAAATCAATAAGTGAAAACTAATCTGATGGAAATTCATGAACCTTTGGGGGTGTAGTGGTGCACATAATTAAAAGCCATAGAGCAAAAAAAAGTTATATTAAAAGTTGGATTTTTCTGTTTTATCACTTTTTTATGATGCTAAGTTATGTTATTATATTCTTCTGACAGCTTTTTCATTTTCGAACAGTAAAATCTCAAATCTAACAAAAGCTTTTCAGATTTTTTGTAGCATAAGGAAATGTAAATAATAAATATATTTGAATCTGTTCTTAAAATTCTTTGATCCAGAGCAAATGAGGAATTAAATTCACAATTTGAAACATAGATTACAAATAAATAATGATCCAGCTATAGATTGAATGTGTAGGTTTTAATAATGATTCAAAACTGAAATTTATATAGTAATATCAATTTTAATATCGAAATAAGTAAAAGTGTAAGGAAAATAAGAATTTTAAAACGATGATAAAACTTTATGTGGTAATCTTAGGCAGATACAGTGGCAGTGGCACTCTATGTGTCCTTCTTTAATAATATGACCTTACAGGTCATATACTAACCAAATATTTTCATTTGATTAACATCAAAAGCAAGTAAATTTTTTTGAGTTAATGCCTTGGACTAATGCTTAATATTAAGCACAGAACTAAATTACTTCTGGGTGGAAATATTAAATTCTCAACGGAGTATTTAATTGCTGTGTTAAATCTGTCCAAGAAGATTAAATGGCACAATGGCTTTCCAAATTCCCAGCACTCAAACTCGCTGCTGTTTAACTAAAATCATTTGCACAAAGCTTATTTCAACATAAACATATGTGCAGTTGCACCCCTAGCGAAAAACATGCTGAATTACATGCATGCATTTATTACCAGGACTTTTCTCCAGTATAGAAGAGAGTTTTGCAGATTTGAAAAAAATGTTATTTTTTAAATGGTTGGTTGGATTTTATTATTTATCTATCAGGTAAGCACTTAAACTAATGAATTTCATAACTAATGCTATAAGAACTTTTTTTACCTCCATTCAAAAGCAAGCATTACTCTTCGTCAACAATGAAATCACATTTTACAGCAGTGTAATCACTCCTTTTATAGTCAAACAAAGCAAGCACTATTTTGGCTATTCTAAGATCCAAGCTGGCACTGAAAGTGTTGCTCCAGAGATTGAAGCAACACTGCAGAATTGGCAAAGAGCTTCCTAGGAATCATTTTTGTGACGTCAGTGTCTTCAGAGCTCAGTGAAGATGCATCATAAATATTTTACCTGTCAGACTCAAAATAAAAAAAGGACATTTGTTCATGGTTGACTTACAATGATGTGTTGTCCAAAGTGGTAGAGCTGGCCACTCTGCACAACACGACATTGTCCTATTTTTATTTTTATTTTTTTTACCAGTTTGCTTCTCGGCAGGAAGACACAAAGGGCATCAAATTGTTGCAGTGAGTGTTCCTTGTTGTCTGTATGTGATCATGTGATGGTTGGAGTTTTCTCAGATTGTTGTTATAGTAACTATAATCATTATAGTCATTCCCATAAGAATGTAAAGCTCCAGCCATTATATGTGTTAGCAGTTCATTGGTACAGTACATAGTTACCAATGGCGTGTTTTTCACAGTACCTGATGCAACATCACACCGTCAGCACAGCCCTTTGTTCTCTGTGGCTCCGTCCTGCAGGGAAA